CTGTAAATGTTCAAGTCATTTGGATAAGCCAAATAAGAATTAAAAATCGCCAAAGATGGCAGTGTCAAAACGTGCTCGCCCACGTTTTTTTTTTTTTTTTTTTTTGGGTCCGCGTTCGGCCTGTCCCGAACGCTGGTTACCCTGTCTATATATATATATATATATATATATATATATATATCGTCACAAACAGAACTGCCCGGTAAACCGTAGGCAGAGAGAGAGAAGATATATATATATATATATATATATATATATATACAGGGTTGCCAGGCCGAATGTACGGAGGCCCGTAAGCTGACCCCGGAACGTTCGGGCGTTCGGGTCCCTGTACGGCGCCCAAACTTGAGGGGGTTCGGACCCCGCAAAAACATATTTTGGCACCCAAATATTATTATTTGTTTTCAATTTTTTTTTTTTGAGTTCTTTGTGATGTAAGGTATCCCCCGCTTAATTTTGAATTCATTCTGTTCAGCCAAAACAATATGAAAAATCCTCAAAGGTGGTGGTGTCAAAACTTGCTTGCCCACTCACAAATTTATTTTTTCTCTCTTTTCACTTTTTGTTTTTCCTTTATTTCGGGGCATAAAACAATTTATTATTTTTTTAAAATTTATTCATAGATTCTCTATTATGTAAGATACACATATATAAATTTTCATGGCATTTGTCACAGGCAAAAAATAATGAAAAATTGCCAAAGATGGCGGTGTAAAAAACGTGCTCGCCCACTCAATAATTTAATTCTCGTTTTATTTTTTCTAATTTTGATTATTGTTATTTATTTTTAATATTCGATTTTTATTGCAAATTTGGTAAAGAATTTGGATATAACATTGAGGCAAAATTTGTTTAGTTTATTCTTCTGCATAACATATATGTTTTTCAGATTTTTTGGAATTCGTTTTTTTTTTTTTTTTTTTTTTTTTTTTGGATCCGCATTCAGCCGAACGACCGAAGGCGTCGAGAGGGGTGCTGAACATTCGGGCGTTCAGGTTCGGGCGTTCGGCCCGTCCCGAACGCCGACAACCCTGTATATATATATATATATATATATATATATATATATTTGACGATATATATATATATATATATATATATAGTCACAAACAGAACTGCCAGGTAAAACCGTAGGTAGAGAGAGAGAAGAGGACAACAAACGAGGGGCTGTGACAAACTGTTTATATATATATATATATATAGATAGATATAGATATAGATATACACCCCTCGTACCTCCCTCTCCCACCCGAAATAGCACCCTATCACCAAATGTTCACAAAATTCTGAATTCTTTTATGGGGTATCTCTATGGCATGCGCAACACTTGCATAATATATATATATATATATATTATGTCAAAAAGTGGTTGTCCAGGACCCCGGACAACCCCCCTACCGGACAGTTGGGGGGGACGTCCGGCCATCAGACGACTGGTAACCTAGAAAAAAAACAAATACAGGGTTGCCGGCGTTCGGGACGGGCCGAATGCCCGAACCTGAACGATCGAACGTTCGGCACCCCCTCTCGACGCGTTCGGTCGTTCGGACGAATGCGGATCCAAAAAAAAAAAAACAAAAAAAACCAAAAAATATGGAA